TCTCCCATAGAGCCTTGTTTCACAGCAGAACATTGCATTGTGTTGTGTCATAGCCACCGTCTTTATTCAAGGCTATTACTTACCCCACTAGGCCCTGTGCCCTGGAAAAGAACCACTAGGTCTAATAAGATAAATACATCTTTTTATGCTACTCAGTGCCAGGCACATGCCCTCACAGACTGAGTGCTCTGGAACTATTTTGTGTGAACGAAAGCAGAGAGCAAAATAACCGTTTCAATATCTTGTTTTCAAGCTTTAGCAGGCTGCAATGTTACCTGTGATTCTTGTTCAGCCATTCTGATTCAAAAGGTCTGGTCAGAGACTCAAGAATATCTACTTTAAATGCTTTTCAAACTAAGACTCCATGAGTTTCCATAGGTGGGGAAAGGTGTTACTAACACCAACTCAGGGCCTGAGCTGCTGAAACACGAGCCGAGTCAGGTGTCAGTAGGTGATGTCCCCGTGGCTGTGTGAACGTCACTGAGCATGCTCACACAAACCTAGCTGGACAGCCTCCCGGGAACCCAGGCCCTGTGAGGTAACCTTTGGTTCCTAGACTAGACACCTGCACAGCCCGTTACTCCTGAATACTAGCGGCAGTTGTACCACTATGGTTTCTGGGGACCTAAACATAGAAAACGACAGTAAAGATACAGTAGCACACTGATAGGGCCACCACTGTATAGCAGTCTCTGGTCAATGGAAACGCTGTTACATGGTGCATGACTGCAGACAGTCTACTTCTAACATTTTATAAGACATATAATCAAGGAAAATAAACACTACAAAGACATTCACCAGAATGTTAATCATGGTTATTTCTCACTTTGAGGATTATTGTGTATTTTTTATTTTGCTTCATCTATATTATACATCATCTGTAATAAATATGTAATATTTTAGTAACCAGAGGAAAAAAAATCATGCCTGAATTCAAGCAAGAGCTGGGTCACTTTGAGCAAATTGCTTAAGCTTATTCAGCCATAGGTGCCTCATCTAAAAATGTGGGTCAGTAATGGCACCAACTGTACAGAGCTGAGTAATAATTAAACTAAATGGATCATTCCCATAAAATCCTGAGCACACGTACATGAGGCAACGGAAGCTTGAGAAGACCAGCTATGGAACCGTCCAGGAATTTCAACTCGTCTCTTCTTCTTTTAGTCCTTTTTTCTGACTCACCCTTGGGTTCAAACTCTACAACATCAAATCATTGTTTCACTAACTTGTGGAGGTTTGTTGAGCAAAAGAACCTACGTGGCTGTGATGCAAGTTAATATTTTCTACCAGCTGTATGTACTGGTAGTTTCAAATTGGCCATAATGGCCAATAAGGCAAAGAAAAGAATGGTCTTAATTTACGCTCTTTGTGAATTCTAATAAGGAAACACATAATTGCCAGAACTCGGCTGGCCCGTTGATCCCGGCATATGAAGACAAGTCATGGAACCTTTAACGATAGAAAATGGTCCAGATCTCAGATTTGTATGTCGTCAAACAAAAATAAATCTTTTAAGCAAAGTACTAAAATGAAGAAATGTTTTACTTCTGGGTACACTTCAGTCATTTCAACTGGAAAAATAAATTGTTATTCTGTATGTTGACCAGTTTGATGAAAATATTTCAAATTGTACATGAAAACACCACACTGTACCCCACAGCTATCATTTGATAAAATAAATAAATAAATAATAAATTGTTATTCTGTATGATTATTATATTGTTATTTTTCATGGAGGTATGTGTCAGTGCTGATCAGGTTAACATCTGTAGGCACTCATTCATTCATTCACTCATTCATTCATTAGAGATCGACTCATCCCTTCCCTCATCCATTTACCCAACAAATACTTAGTGATCACTCAGTCTGCATCCTCCACTCTGTAGGGACTGAAGGGACAGGACGGTCTCTTCTCATGAGACACAAGGCATAGCAGGAAAACGTACTCAAATGAGCACACAAATAGAACTGATGCTGCAGTGAGGGAAGGGTTGGACACACAGAATGGCCCGGAATCAGATGGAATCAGATGGCCTGGGCTTAGGTCCAGTTCTACTACTAGGGGACCCTAAGGCCCACATGACTAAGATTTCTGGTCTATAAAATAGAAATGATTCATATTCCTACCGTTTAGGGGTGTTACAAGAATTTGATTAGATTAGAGAGGGCTATACTCACAATTATTTGAATGCAGCCCCATGAGGGCTGTGACAACACTTCACTACATGCAGACCAAATACCCAGCAGAGCTCTTAGCATGGAGAAGACATTCTAGACCTGTTGAATGAGCGAGTTTAACAAGGCCAGACTGCAGAGGGCCAGTCAACACTTGAAATTGGGGTTTCTAGCTCATATTCTCTAAATTGCCTGGTAGGATATCTTGTTTCTAGCAGGTACCAAAATAATTATTGAGTCACAATCAGGTTAAATAGACGTAAAATATACTATTATAACTTTTGCCATTGTTCCTTCCTTGATGACTTTCCTTGAGAGACAAAGGGATCCTGATTTTTGAGAAGTGTTGCATAATTTAAAATGCCCCCTGTGGAGTTCTGAAAATAGATGATGGTGATGGTTTGGTAACAATGAGAGTGTACTTAATGCTGGACACTGAACTGTATATTTAATAAAACTTAAAATAATTAAGTTATTGTTATTGGTTAATTGTGTATTGTATATGTTTCACTACAATAAAAAAATTATCTGCTTAGAGTCTCTGAAGAAAGGGTAGCTGTGATGATTGTTTTGAAAACAAAGTAAGATACCCAAGTGTGTGGCACATGGCAGAAGCTCAAAAAAATTAGTTCTCTTTCTAATAGTTCTAGAACACCACTGCACAGCAAGCACAAAAAATGACCCTTGTAGTTCCTACTGCCAGATAAAAAGTTGTCTCTAAGGGGAAAAAAATCTCCAACCTTTGTAGTTTCACAGCCCAGTAGTGCAGATGGTAGAAATCACTCCTCTGGAGGAGACTGGAACGTTTCATCTCTATTATAATGAATTCCAATATCATGAATTACAAAGTATCCAAGAAAATGCTTGAAACTATTAAAAGAAGACAGGCCATCTACTATCCATTTTAGATAGGCATCTGCAACATTTGTTTCAAAATAACATAGTGGGGTTTTTTTTCAATTATAGTTCTAGTGAATTTATGCACCTCATTATAACTAATTCTGGAGGAGTTGAGGGGTTAGAAAGTAGAGCCATTACCTCTTTCTACAGAGGAAAACCACAATATTCTATAGAGGAAGGAGGAAAGATACAAATTATTATCTTGCACTTTATACACAGACATTTTATTTTAAAAGAGCGGCTCTTCTGCACCTACTCATCAGTCTCCTTGGATATGACTACTTTTTTAAAAATCAACACTGTCTTGATTGTCTGAGTTTAAATAAATCATGACATGATCCTGAGAACTTGGCAAGAACATCAATGATTTTACATCTGGCATCACACACCAGCTGCATGTTGAGGGAATGAGATGCTTTTCTGTTTCTTTACCTTGCTTCATTAGTGAGTATGTGGGATGCATGCATTGCCGCGCACAGCTCAGCACCCCAGATGGAGGCCGCCAGCAGTGTCACGGAACCCAGGCATCATTTACTGCGAAGCCCAACTTCCAAAAAATAATAAGATGGTATTTTTACTTAAATATTTTTATCTGCCAGTGGAGATGTGGGAAGGTTTTTGTTTTGTGTTTGTTTTTTGTCAATAGAGCTATACACTTAATGTATAGAGGTGGGGCCTGTTGGGAAAGTCTCTAATGGAGAAATAATTTCAGTTGTCACAGTTGAACATATGTACAGTATGGTACCCATCTTCAAGTCATCACACAGGAAAAAAAAAAAACAATAATTTCCTTGCCAAATCCATGTCCAACACATTTTCTACTTAGTTCTTGACAACTACACTGCTTTTGCTGGGAAAATATCTGTGCTGTGAGCTTTCTGGTTATCTAATTAAAGAAATCTTTACTATGTCCCCATCTCATCATAGACATTTGCCTTATACTTGAATTTTGTTAAGTTTAGCAAGTATCTCTTTATGCTAATGATCGCTGTGTAACAAATTATCCCCAGATTTAGCAACTTAAAATAACAATAATAATGCGTTGTCTCCCGGTTTCTGGGAGTCTGGAAGTCAGGAGCGACTCGGAGGAGCAGTTCCGGCCCAGGTCTCTCCTGAGCTCCTGATTGAGGTGCCAGGTGCCAGGGCTGCAGTCGTCATGAGATCTTACTGTGGCTGCAAGATCAGCTTCCCACGTGGCTCACTCCTGTTATGCTGTACTGTTTCAGGATGTTCCTGCAGTCCTTTTCATGTGGAACTCTCTAGACAGCTCCTTGAATGTCCCATGACGTGGCAGCAGAATCTCCGAGAGTGCTTGAGCTGAGAGAGCAAAGCATAGGAGGCACCGCCGGCCGTTCAGGACCCAGCCTTGGAAGGCCCCACCGCCACTTCCACCGTGTCCCATCGGTCACCCAGACCAGCCCTGCTACGGTGTGGGAGGGGGCTGTGCAAGGGCTTGAAAATCAGAGGTGAAGATTATTGAGGGCCATCTTTAAGGCCGACTACCACACCCTAAAATAAACTTACGTTCAAATGTATATGAAAAATATGTCCATTTTACATATTCTTCTTAAGCAAATAAGCTTGGATCGGATTTTGCACTTTTCTGTCATGTCTGAGTGTAAAAATAGCAGCATAAAAGTTCTCAACATAATAATTTAATCAATCTAAACATTACAAGCATATCCACATTCAGCTAAAGAAAACTTTGTATCTGACCTAATAGCAACAGCTACTTGTAATCCATTGGCAGCACTCAACGAACAAGGAAAACTGAAATCAGTTTAAGTCATTGGTTAAAATTATAGATTAGGAAACAAAATATGTGGAGAGATCTTATTGTTCTATCTTACTCAATATTCTGAGATAATCACTAATCTCAAACTATTTTTAAAAACAGAAATAAAAGCTTCATTATGTATCTGATCTTCTGAAAGCTTTTTATTAATGGCATGTGAAGGGAAGACAATGATATTTACAGGTATTTTAAGCAAAGGAAAGGAAAGATTCATCCAGAACCTACCACCAAACTCTTTGTATAATTTCCAAGTGGTACCCACCCACATTCATGCAACAGATATATCCGCACACCTGTTGCTTTGAGATACTCTGGGGAAATAAAGAAAATGAAGGTAAGGAACTTGCACCTGTCTGGGTTGATGAGGCAGGTGAACACACCTATACCTGCAGCATTGCACAGTAAGTTTCATCAGAAAGGGGGAAAGTACAGAAGTTAGAGAAGAAAGAAATCAGTTCAAAGGGACAAAGCAGCAGAGCATTTGGGATGCTGACACTCGCTCTGACTCTTTAAAGATGAGTAGATTTTAACAGTGGAAGGTGATAGGGTGGTTATTACAATAAAAGCAGCAGCAAAATCAAAGTGTACATCAGGAAACCACAAGGTTAGTGAGATGCACCCTGCTGTCCTCGGTGTGGGCTGTTTCCCACCACCTCCATACCTCAGGGTGAAGCCGGGGAGCTTCCACCTCTCTGGGGATTCCTCTGCTCCGTCCTCCCACCAGTCCAACATTGCCATTACCTTCTACTGGCTTTTTGGTTGCATTTTCTGGGGCTGGTTTTCCTGCCATTCCATCAGTTCTATAATTATACGAGATGCTCCCAGTAAGTTCTCTGTTTCTGTTTTCCCTGCTTCCATAAACCAGTGAAGTCTCTATCTGGGATTTTAAGTTTATTTCTGATTGACACAGAGCTCTGCACATTCATGCAGTACCTGGTGATTTTCAACACATGCAGTGCACAGAGACCAAGGCTGGGTAATTTCAAATATCTGTTATCTCAGACAGTCACATTTCTTTCTGTTGGGAGTGTTCATACCCTTTCTTTTAGCCATTTGACAACACGTATATGATATATATCATTGTTAACCACAGACATCCTGCTGTCCTATAACTTAAACTATTCAGATACAGCTCTTGTGTCAGATTATATTTTCCAACATGGCCACAAAAAGATCGCCCATTGTACATTTTCAACTTACAATATGACCCTTCCCTACCCAGATAGGAGATTTACATTCCCTTTCTTTAAATCTGAGTGGAACTGTGATCAAGCCAAAAGTATATAACAACATCGTATGGCTTCAGGTTGGGTTATAGAAGTTCTGCAGCTTCTTCTCATGACCACCGGGATGCTCTCACGAAGCAGTCTCCATGCCACGAGGAAGCAGAGAGCCCACTTGGAGACAAAGAGGCCATGGGCAGCAGCAGGTGTCAGAGCCAGTAGCCAGAGCTGCAGTCCAGCCCCAGCCCCTGTCTGACACCCTCCACTGATCCCAGATGAGAAATGCCAGGTTGAGTCCAACCAACGTGAGAACTCCCAACCAAGGCAAGAACACACACAGGGGTCATCGTGAGCTGACTGTGGCATTAGGCCAAGACGCCTTGGAGTGTGTTCTGACCTATCAGCTTTCGAGGTTATCAGCACTCACTCCCTGGCTCTCAGACAGAGACCACCCTCACTTCCTTTCTGCACGACCCCTTCTATGTGGCATTTCACACATGGCAGCTTGTTTCTTCAAAGCCAGCAAGAGAGAGAGGGTGTTAGCGAGATGGACATTAATTATCATAAGCATTGTAATCAAAGCCAGGTGACCATGTGTGTCCATCACGTGCATCTTACTCAGTTGGTTAAAAGCAAGTCACACAGGTCTTGCCCACACTCAAGGCGAAGGGCTGAGACAAGGATGTGAATACTGAGAAACAGGAATCACGGGACCATCTTGGAGTCTGTGTGCCAGAACTAGGAATGGATCTCAAGGAGACAGACCCAAGGAACCACATTCAAGGAGGCTCATCAGAAGCTGGGCCTGCTATCAATGACAAAACCCTGGAATTTGAGCAAATGCCATAATGAAATGAGATTTTTGGTAGAAAAAGAAAAGAATAAGCATATTTTGCTCATAAGAGGGATGTAAATCATCAGGGTCAGAGGGTGAACAGTGGCAGATTCGGCTTTCTACTATGACACAAGAAGAGCTCCGTTCCAGACCTCTCCTTGAGATGCAACATTGACCCTTCACCTGCAGACCCTCCCTGGTGAGCTCCAGCTGCCCCCTGAAGAATGTCGGCTTCTCCTGAATAAGCCCCAGGCCACTATCCTTTCTGGCATCTTCCGAACTTTGATGCTCAAGTCTTAGTCTAATTTTTTTTCTGTCAGTAGAATTTTAGTGCTCATTTTTCTGCTCCAGTGTCTGCTTTCCCCCCAAAGGAAAGAAGTGGACTTTAGACCCATGAGAATGAGGAAAAAGTAGGTGCCAAGATTCTATCTCCATCTTCCTACCAACAACAGTTGCAATACACTTCCTTTAAAATCACCTAAAGGCAAACTCACCACCTCCTAACACAAAGTACATTCCTTTCCTAGGTTTTCCTATTGAATTATCACCAATATTGATGGTTTAAAACAACAGAAATTTGTTATTTCACAGTCCTGGAGACTAAAAGTCTGAAATTAAGACATCGGCAAGGCCATGCTCCTCCTAAAACGTCCAGGGCAGAGCCTCCCTGCTTCTTCCTAGTTCTCGTGGTTGCAGTCCTCGGCTTGCGGATGTGTCCCCCTTCTCGTGGCTGCAGTCCTCGGCTTGCGGATGTGTCCCCCTTCTCGTGGCTGCAGTCCTTGGCTTGCAGATGTGTCCCCCAGTTTCTGCCTCCACAGTCACAGAGCATTCTGCTTGCGTCTGTCTGGGTCTTAATTTCACTCCAAGGATACCAGACACTGGATTAGATCTTCCTCTAATCCAGTATGACATCATTTTAGCTTACTTATGTCCGCAGAGACCTTACTTCCAAATCAGGTCATATCCACTGGTCCTGGGGTTAGGGCTTGAACATTTCTTTTGGGGGAGACATAGGTCAACCCCCAATACCACCAAGTATTAATTTTCTGCCATAGACAATGTCATCTAGTTTACCAGAAGAGAGTATATTCCTACTCTCAGTATGACTCCAACCAACACTCAACTAAATAATAACCCTGATTAATGAAGCTACAAAATGTCTCCCTTTTATAGGCCTCGAAGTATGTTTTTGTTTGTTTCTTTGTAACTGTGTAGCTGTCTGGAGCATGTGAGTTTGCAAATTCTTGCACTGTTTTGTAGGCTTAGAACAACGTCCCCATATAAGGTAAGTATGTATGTACCTGCAGTGTCCTCCGGTCCACTGTAAGAACTCTCAGAGAAACAATTCATTTCAAAGTTCTTAGAGGAAGTTACCCAAATAACAGCTGCATAAGTGACCACATGAGCTCTGTGTCACCTGCTGGGCTAATGTATAACAATTCAGTGAGTAGAAGTTACTAGAAATGCAGATTTTAATAAGTGAAGGAATAAATTTCTAGGCATTAAAGTGACCTGAAAATGGAGCAGAGTCTTGTCTAAAGGAGTGAGAAGCCTGGCACGACAGGTGCTTGTTTAGAATCAACAGAGCTGCGTCAATGACCAGGGGTTAGGAAGTGTCTGGTGCCTAGTAAGTGCTTGGTAAATAAAAGCTGAAGCAGTGATAGACGTGTCCTCAGAGGTGTCTTCCAAATCTTGGATTCTGTAATGCAAAGCTTTATTTAGAAGATAGTCATTTAGTAATCCTAACATTTTGGATACCTAATATTTTTATTAATAGTATTACAAGTAATATTAATAACTACAAACTATTGAAAACTCTTTCTTCTGTGGCTTTCTGCTAAATGACTTAATATTGTCTCATGTAAATACCACTATGAGGAAAGGATTATCACTCTACAGTGAACAAGAAACTAAGGCTCACCCTGTGTCATTGACATACCTGCGGTCATTCAGCTAATAATATGTGAAATTGGGACTCAGTCTGAATCCGCCTGGTTCTAAACTCATTCTAACCCACTACACCATTTCAAAGAACAAAATGGCTGATTACCTTTCAGAGAGAAATTATCAAATGGATAACGATTTTCAAGTGGGGCAGAGACCTAAATGTCCTGAAAGATGTATAGTGTTTACTTGAACCAAGGAGGTACTATCGATTCTTCTCTTTTTTATTTTTTTAATCAGAGCCTTGCTCTCTCACCCAGCTGGAGTGCCATGGTGGCATCATCATAACTCAGTGCAAACTCAACCACAGCTGAGCTCCAGTAATCCTCCCACCTCAAACTCCCAAATAGTTGGGGCTACTGGTAAGCACCACCCTGGCTGGCTAATTTTTCTAGTTTTTGTAGAGGCAGGATTTTGCTCTTGCTCACCCTGGTCTCAAACTCCTGGCCTCAACCAATCCTCCCATCTTGGCCTCCCGAAGTGCTAGGATTACAGGTGTGAACCACCAAACCAGGCCCTCTGCTCTTCTGTGATTAGATCTCATGAATGAACAAGACCACATGGCCTGCTCAGAAGGAAATTTTACCCTCACTGAGCTGCATTTTGGAGAACAAAAGCCAAGAGTAAACCCCCGAGACAAAGTCCAACTACTATTTTAAAAGGAGTTTCAGACTATGTATGGATCAGAGGTTGCTGCTGGGAGAATTCACAAATCTTAGAACTTTCTTAAGCGTATTTATCTTGTGAGTCTCTTTTTCCCAAAATGATTAGTTGACACTCCATAAAGAGAAATAACTTGAGTGCTTATCTTTGGACACAGTAAAAAAAAAAAAAAGAGGTTGTTACTGTTTTTATCAACCAGCCCTCTTGGGGAGAGTTCAGAGGCCCTTTAATGGCTGTGGTTTCATGACCAAGCTCCGCAGCAAAGAAAGAACTTCAGGCAACAGGGAGCTGCTCAAGGGCTTTCTCGGTGAGCAGGAGAGCGTTTCACTGGCTCCTCTGGGACACAGACCAACTGAGTATTGTCCACAGGACAGGCGCTCCGAGTGACACTGTAAGGGCTGCTCCCAAAATGTGCCTGCGACATCATCACCACCAGGGACACATGTGATATGCAAATAATCCAGCACCATTCCTGACCTACTGAATCAAAAACTGGGGGGACAAGGGTGGGCAATCTATATTACAACAGCTGATTCTGATGTACTTACCCTAAAGGTTGCAGATCTTTGCACTAGGAAATAGGGTCTGGCTCATTGTAGAATTTCTCCTCAGGAGGCACAAGTCCCCTGTAAAAAGGTGAAAAAATAACAAGTTGAATAGAAAGTAACTGTTTCAGGAAAACTAGAGAAAATTATGCATTTCTTCCATATTCACCAACCAAAACAAAACTCACAAAAAAGCAAGGCAATCAATCCCCTGAATAGTCACGAGTCATCACTCTCAGCGGTGACTCGTACATACACTGTATACACTCTGCTTTTGTTTGCTGTGGTCATTGCAAACAGTTATAAAGTGCTAATTGCTAATAGTCATAACCAAAATCAAGAATACTCACTCTAAATGATATAAAACAGGGCTTAAAATTAGTGAACTTCCTATATCAGCTAGCAACGAATTTAACTAAAAACAACAAACACAGATAAAGACATATTATTCATTCCAGTAAGGCACTGTAATGAAAAAGTTTTTTTAAAATCCAGATTCCTTTTTTTTTCTTTTTTTTTCCCTTTTTTTTTTTTTATTACATCATTGCTGTGTACATTAATGCAGTCACGGGGTACAATGTGCTGGTTTTATATACAATTTGAAATATTTTCACCAAACTGGTTGACATAGCCTTCATGGCATTTTCTTAGTTATTGTGTTAAGACGTTGATATTCTACATTTAGTAAGTTTTACACGTTCTTGTAAGATGCACTATAGGTGTGGTCCCATCAATCACCCTGCCTCCACCCATCCTTCCCCCTCCCCTCCCCTCCCTTTCCCCTTTCCCCATATTCTTGGGCTATAATTGGGTTATAGCTTTCACATGAAAGCTATAATTTAGTTTCATAGTGCACTTAGTATCCATAGTGCATTGGATACAGTACCTCAAGAATGGAAGAAAAAATCCAGATTCTTAAAAGGCCAGGTGTGGTGGCTCACATCTATAATCCTAGCACGCTGGGAGGCCAGGCAGGTGGATTGCCTGAGCTCAGGAGTTCCAGACCAGCCTGGGCAACAGTGAGAACCTGTCTCTAAAAACAAATAGCTGGGCATTGTGACAGGTGCCTAGAGTCTCAGCTACTTGGGAGACTGAGGCAAAAGGATCACTTGAGCCCAAGAGTTTGGGGTTGCTGTGAGCTATGATGCCACAGCCCTCTTCCAAGGGTGACAAAGTGAGACTCTGTCTCAAAAATAAATAAATAAATAAATAAATAAAATCCAGATTCTTCTTATCAATGAAATATAAGGCACTGATATCCTAACATAAAAAGTATATTATGCAAATATATTCACACACATGTTTAAAATGTGACAAGTCCTGCTATCCTTAATACATTGGTAAATGTTTTTGGTTTTTTTGCAGTTTGGGCCAGGGCCAGGCTCAAACCTGCCACCCCCAGTATATGGGGCCTGCGCCCTACTCCTTGAGCCACAGGCACCACCCTGTACATTGGTGAATGTTTACACACTCACACGAATTGCAGAAATGCAGGAAAAGAATATACAATATCATGAGCAAACCCATGGAAGCCCAGGATATTTTGTTTCCCAGATTTCAATACATTAATTTTTAAATTTATATTTCTCATAACAGACAACCAATGTCTCAGTCATCATACGAAATATAATCTATTTTCAATTTTCTTTCTTTTCTTCAAAGATCGAGTATATCAAAACAGAAAGAAACGTTTTAAAGCAAGCACTTTGTTGAAGAAAAAGAAACTCCAGGCCTCTCACTGTGAGTAGAAGATAATCCCACAGCGTGGCGTGAGGCAAGGTAGCTAAGCCACAGATGAAGGCCGACTCCCTGCACAGAACACTACACAGACATCAGCGATGATGGGGTGAGACCAAAACCCCTCGGCGAGAGGTGGGAACTTGAGCCGTCTAGGCTTACACAGGGAAAGGGCAGAAGCAGCAGCACCACAGTACACAAGAGCAGACGCTTCTAATCTTCTAGTGCTCAGGTTGTTTTTTATTAAAACAATGGTACCTAGAGAACATAGCGATGTGTGAACACCACAGCAGAAAATCATTTCAGTTTAGCTCCGAGTTCCCTTTGCAACCTTGCTATAGTCAGAGACACCTAATAATATCACCATATGCTTTGAAAAGAACATTTTTCACTGCATTTAAACAAGCATATGGTGAAATATTTTTTAGTGTTATCTTTTCGATAAAGTGGAAAAGAATAGATGTGGTATATATTTCTAACATGTAAGAAGCTTGAAGACCTTTGAGATATAACATCAGAATAGGTGGATTAATAATTTTCTTGACATATTTTTGCATGTTTGATTAATTAATCAGTGTCTTGAGACTATGTCATTTTATATCAAGATTTGAGTGTACATGGGTTAATTTAGTAATAGATATCATTTTAATTGGATTTGAAATTGGGGTATATATCCCCAGGGATCTAACTGGTCAGAGTAGTCAAAAGTATTAATTAATGAACTTCAGAATATTAACTTATTTTCTGAATGCCTTATGGTCCTCTTGAGTTCACAGAGTTGTGAAAGTTTTCCTCTCAGCACTAACTGATGCCCACACACTTCGGTTTTATAAAGATGAGTCAAAAGTGATATTATAAAAAAAAAGTCTAAAATTTTATCACAGGCCTTCTGTTACTGATTTTTTAATTAGTTTACTGAAACTATGTCAGTAGTATCCAGGAAAATTTTGATTTTGTGTTCCTGGATTGCCTAGAGCTACTTTTTACCAAGTAGCAATGCATTGGCCAGTGTTACCATATTTAGTCAAGTAAACAGGATTTTTGTCAATCTGTTTCAGAAATAATATGCGTCAAAAATATGCTTACTCAGTAGGTTGAAGGTCGGAAACCATGAGAATTCGTTGTGGCTCTTCCACTAACTATTTGTGCTGCCCTGACCCAGTTAACCTGTTTTGCGTTTGGTGCCCTTGCTTGTGAAATGACACTGTCCTCTGACATTGTCTGGTCACTGGAGCCCAGGTTCGTGAAGCCTGCGGAGAGAAGAGAAACTGTCTACTTGCTAACTTTGTTGTGTTACCTACCAATCACCTGAAGACACAAATATAAGGTATTGCACATTCTGTATCTTATAGGCATGGCACTTTCAGAAATTCTTGAGCAACTTTAGTTCTAAAAGGGAGAACCCAGACGGGCATGGTGGCTCACACCAGTAATCCCAGCACTCGGAGAGGCTGAGGAAGATGGATAACTTGAGCTCAGGAGTTTAAGACCAGCCTGAGCAAGAGTGAGACATCTCTCTATTAAAAACAGAAAAACTAGCCCAGGTACTTAGGAGGCTGAGGCAAGAGAATTGCTCGAGCCAAAGAGTTTGAGGTTTCTGTGTGCTGCGATGCCACAGCACTCTACCAGATAGACTCATGATTTGTTGGCTGTGATTTTCTTTTTTTTGAGACGGAGTGTCACTCTGTCGCCCTGGGTAGAGCACTATAGAGTGCCACTTGCTACCTATTAGATCTGTGACCTTGAACCCTTAACCTCTCTGTGCCTTAACTTTCTCATATATTTAATGGGGATGATTAAAGGATGTACCCATTTGAACTGTAATGAGGATTAAATGAGTTTATTCATATAAATCACTTACTAAGAAGAGAATAAAGTAAATGTTAAACATCCAATAAATCTTGGGTGTTATTTAAGCAGAAAATAATTATATTAATATTTAATTAATTACAAAATATTAATATTGTAATAATAAAATATTATTAAGATGTTATTGGATCATATTCTATGATTCTGGAAAATGGAAAACTGGAGAGAGAGAAAACTGATCTCTATGCCGGGCATGGGGGCTCTTGCCTGTAACCGAGCACTCTGGGAGGCCAAGGTGGGCAGATCACCTGTGCTCAGGAGTTTGAGACCGGCCTGAGCAAGAGCAAGACCCCATTTCTAAAATTAGCCGGGTGTTGTGGCAGACACCTGTAGTCCCAGCTACTTGGGAGACCGAGGCAAGAGAATCACTTGAGCCTGAGAGTTTGAGGTTGCTGTGAGCTGAGACACGACAGCACTCTACCCAAGGTGACAAAGCAGACTCTGTCTCAAAAAAAAAAAAAAAAAAAGAGATCTCTCTTGATGTTTCAGGTAGGTGAGGGAGGTCCCAAAAGGAGCAGCACTGAGGGCGTTTGTTCCATATCACAGCTGTGGTGGGTATGACATACAGGACTTCACACACTATCAAAGTCCACAGAGTGGCACGTCCCCATGGGAGAATTTATAGCATGTGAAATTTCTAAATGGAAGGTTACTTGAGAGCTTGTATGACCACTGTAATATCTGGAGACCTAGGCCTAGAACTGAGCAGGGGTAAAGATGACCAGTCACTGGCAGGACCACAGCCCCAGTCCATTCAGTGAGGACCAGACACTGCACTACCACCACCACTGGGGCATGGAACATGAGAAGCTGCCCTTGGGGTCCCTACTGCTCCTGGGGACAGGATTTTGACCCTTTTATGGCAACCACCTGCTACCAGAGAGGATTTTCTGCCCCTGAGTCTTGGGCCACTAGCTACAAATTCAAAGCTACAGCAAGTGCAAAAGAGTGAAGGAACAAGCCAACCCAGATCACGCTCGACGCTCAACTCACCAGTACAAGGCTGGGCAAATACTGCCCAACCACATCAGTAAGGAAGGGGATTTTCTTTTTTAATTTTTTATTTTTTATCAGTATAGAAACAACGATATATATTATAGGGTGCATGCGATGCTTTGATAGGTATACAATATGTAATAATCAAATCAGAGTAACCAGGGTACCCATCACCTCAAGCAGTTATCATTTTTTTGTGTTAAGAACATTCCAATAACATCTTAAATAAATATAGGGACGGGTTCCGATGCTGGGAAGCAAAATATAAAACTATAAAAGAATACAAAGTAAACACTTCAATAGTAGGTTTTTCAATGGCTTTTTGAATCTGATTTATGGTAGAGAACTGAAATAAGTACTTTCAGAGAAGCAGTTCTCATTAACAGGTAACGTTAACAGCAACTATTCAGTATTTAATTTAAATATAAACTGCATTTAACAAGAAGCAGTATGTTATCACAGAAAGAATACTGAAAGGCATCGACCTCTCTTGACTTCATAGACAAATCCCTGGTTGCCCTTGAGGCTTTATTCTCACATCTATAAAACGAGACCGACACAGAGCTGGGAGGGTGAAAGGAGGTAAAATTTATGAAAGAGTTTTTAAAACTCTATAAATCCGGCCAGGCATGGTGGCTCACACCTGTGATGCACCTTGGGGGGCTGAGGCGGGAGGATTACTTGAGCTCAGGAGTTCAAGGCCAGCCTGACCAAGAGCTAGACACCCTCTAAAAAAAATAGAAAAAAAAAAACCTAGCTGGGCATGGTGGGGGCGCCTGTGGTCCCAGCTACTTAGGAGGCTAATCCAGGAAGATGACCTGAGCCCAGGAGTCTGAGGTTGCTGTGTGACCTGACACTGTAACACTCTACCCAGGGGACAGAGTAAGACTGGGCAGGAGTCTGAGGTTGCTGTGTGACCTGACACTGTAACACTCTACCCAGGGGACAGAGTAAGACTGGGCAGGAGTCTGAGGTTGCTGTGTGACCTGACACTGTACCACTCTACCCAGGGGTATTTCCAGGGAAGGATGAGAACTTATCAATTCTCTGAGAGTACAAGACAGGGTGCAGTTTGCCAAAGCAGGAACTGATGAAGTCAGGTGGTGTTATTACACGTTTGTGTGCCCAGACACACAGCACACACATACACGTCTGAGCTACACGTGTCGGTATTAACACAATTCACACACAAATACACCTGACCGAGCTTCCTAAAATCAAAGACTATGACTGAGCCATCTTTGTAGCCCAGTACCTAGTGCAGCATCTGATACCTAGTCTTCCAGACAAATGTTCGGAACTGTGTAACCTATTAGTAGGTATAACTGGGGGAAGCCGTACTATGCTAGCAATTTAAATACACTGTCATTTAATCTACAGCTACGGCCTGAATTATATTCCCCACCACCACCACCAAAATTCACTTGTTAAAATGCTAACCAACTTGTATGCCCCAAATCTACTAAAATGAAAAATAAAAAATAGAAAATAAAACAAATTTTAAGAAATAAAAGGGGGAAAAAAGATAATGGAATAGTGACTCAAAACACCAATCAAAAATCTTTTAAAGAGTGAACAATTTCATTGAGAATGAAAGTGAAGTAAAATTTTGGGATATGATCAATTAAAAATAAGAGAATGTGACCATTGAGAATAAAGCATTTGAAATTAAGATAAAACGAAGTCGTAGGGAGGGACCTGATCCAATGTAAGAGGAAAAGATTACCACACACACGTGGAAGGACGATTATGTGGCCACACCAGCGGAGACGGCGTCCAGGTAACACAAGAGGCCTCACAATAAACCAACCCCACTGACTCTCTGAATTTGGACTTCTACCCTCTGGAATTATAAGGAAAATAAATTGATATTGTGTTACCTGTGGGGGTAGCCTAGCAAGCAAAGACATGAAATGAATAAATGATCTTACCCGACTGCCTGATTTCTCTGCTTCAGTGCAGGCAGTGCACCCCGGTGGACTTGGAATGGCTACCTGCTATTCTCCTTGCCCTCCAGCCCTGTCACTTCATTCCGCAGTCCTGCTCTTCCAATGGGCTTCTATTCCACGAGTCCTGATGGGTCTGCCAGACACAGGGTAAGCGCAAGATCAAAACCATGAAGATTCCTTCCCCTACACTTGGTCTAGGGGAGACTTCCAACCCAACCTTGCAACCAGCCTCTTTGTCTTACAATCTGAAACCCGACTAGAATCGCACGGGATGGAAGGAAGGAGTTTCAAAACTAGTTCCCTAAAAGGGTTCCCCTGAGTGATCGCCATAGAGACCCCTGGAGCTGCCCTGGTTGCTTGTCCTTCCCAAGGCTTTGAATTCCCATCTCTTCCTCTACCTCCCAACCTGTGGAGATACTTTCAATTCATTCCGGGTTGTTTGTTTGTTTGTTCGGCCTAAACTCACTGGAGACAGTGTCCGTTCCTTGCAGCCAAAAAGATCTCAAAACCACTGAACAGTTCTCAAAAGCTTCATCAGTGTTACACGTGTTAATTTGCAAAGCCAAGTTCCTCTCATGAAAATGAGTGAATTCGTAGTCTCTGTAAGGAAAAAATGTTTGAGAATTCCTTGCAAAATAAGGAATCACACCTACCCAGCAGAGGTAGATGACAATACCCGTTTGCAGATGAAAAGGTCAAAGAACAGATGCTAATGTAGAAATAGACTTTTGCAACATGTCTAATCGAACTTACTAGAAAAATCAGGGGCGAGAGAAAACAGGACCTGGGAAAGTTGAGCCGTTGCTCAATACACAGGCTGGAGTTGGCCCTGCAGAGCCCCGCGGGGAGCAGCTAGCATGGACCTAGAAAGTGACTGCAGGAATTTTGCAACAACACCTTTGCTCTCCTGAACTATCACACCCCCAAATCAGACAGTTGTTACAGAGACTCTACCTTGTTACAAAGGTGACTTAACATTGTAACTGTGTAAAAGAATTTTAAAATTATTGTCAGTAGTAAGAATTTCTCATCTTCCTGCACAAGGAATACACAAAAGAAGTTCTGTCTGTGCCCAGTGATTTCCCACAATAGAAATTACTTATTCTGCATTTATTATTTATATCAGGGGCACATTGCTGGCATCAAGTTTATAAAAATATATTCACCATTCCCTTATCAGTCACAATTTTAAAACTCACCTAAAGCCAGATAATACAAGTAAATCTCAGAATTAACATAACCTTTTCTGCTCAAATTTTAAAACAGCAATATAGCTTACATTTACTTTTTTATCCTCTTTCCATCTTACAATTAAATTTTATTAGCTTTTTTCTAGTATCTGGGAGCTTTTTACTTGTGGTTTTACTTTTTTGTTAACCCATCAGGAAACCGCTGAACAGTTTTCAAAAGCTTTATCAGCCACAGTCTAAACTGATTTGATCATTCATAAAACTGGCATAATTCACACTGCCAGCTGCTACCTTAATTAGTAAGTATTAGGAGTGACCTTTTACACACCAGTGAAGGAAATCACCTCCCAGGCAGGTTAACCAATGGGTATCAGCAGGGAAGCCTTATTATCATGTTGAAAATCTAAGAAAGTTCACAGGCATCCCATTACCAGCCACAGAGCTAATACTCATTTCACCCAGCTATAAATCTACAAATTAAAATCTCCCTTTTTCACACCTGTCCACCTCCACTTGCCTCTTCTCCTTCCTCTCCATCTGTTTCTCGATATTTCTATGCAATGTTCCAAATCAATCAATGCCAGCTCAACAGATTAGCTCCCAAATAGAAAGAAAACAGAAAATAATTATGACTTAGGAGATCCTAAAAACCAACACGGTGCTTTGGTAACAGTTAACATTGCCCCAAAATTTCCATCACTAGTAACCACAAGAGAACTTAAGGCCTCATGTATCTCAAACAACTCTTAAAATACAGCAGCAGTGGTAAGTTGGCACAGGAATAGCTATTCTCATGAGAGGGCTGGGGATGGAAAACCCAGGCAGTAAGCTGCTCTGATGTGATCAGTCACTAGTAGAATCGGAGATTTAAAGGCAGAAATGGAGGAATGGGATGGCATAAGAGGTTGCTTCAATGAGAAGGCGGTGGGGAGGGCAGATCCTCATTTCTCATTTGTGTTGAATGTGAAGTTACAAATTGAAAAATTGGGTATATAAGTGAGTATTTATTTGAAATAATAAAATACAACAATGAATTGCTCATTTTTAAAATAAAATTAAAATGGCCAGGCATGGTGGCTCACACCTGTAATCCTAGCACTCTGGGAGGCTAAGGGGGAGGATTCCTTGAGCTCAGGCGTTAGAGACCAGCCTGAGCAAGAGCAATAGCCCTTCTCCACTAAAAATAGAAAAATTAGCCAGGTGTTGTGGCGGGTACCCATAGTCCCAGCTGCTCAGGAGGCTGAGGCAGGAGGATGGCTTGAGTCAAGTTGGAGGTTGCTCGAGCTAGGTTGATGCCATAGCACTCTAGGCTGGGCAACAGAGTGAGACTCTGTCTCTAAATAAATAATTCCACCAATAAATAAATGTAAAATGCCTTTTGAATACTTTCTCTATATTTTTTTATCTGTGTAGTCTTTATTCTTTGATCCCCGTTTCTTTTTTTTGAGACAGAGTCTCACTTTGTCCCCCTCAGTCACAGCAATCTCCAGCTCTTGGGCTTAGGCAATTCTCTTGCCTCAGCCTCCCGAGTGGCTGGGACTACAGGCTCCTGCCACAACACCTGGCTATTCTTTGTTGCAGTTAGGCTGGAGTCGGATTCGAACCCGCCACCCTCGGTATATGGGGCCAGCCCCTACCCACTGAGCCACAGGCACTGCCCCCTTTGAGCACCTTTTCAAAAGACAATTAGGTCATATTTTCTATATAGAGAATAGAAAATTCAGTCTTCCTTTTAACACAATTAACAGACATTTTTTAATTACTGATTATAAAAGTTTCTTTTAACTTTAATACCTAATTTTCAATGTCCAGTAAATTTTTAGGATTGTTTATGAATTTGAGAAAAGCCCTCATTAGTGTCTTTCCCAGGTGACTGGTTCCTGGTTCTGTACATTTCCAGCCATGTTCCTTTCTCTCTGCTGCCCCGTATTTTTGGTGCCAAGGACAGGGTTGCATCACACCCTCCGGCCTTGCACCCTCGAATCCGGCTGCCTGGTCAGGGGGCACACCAGAAGCAGCGATTCCTACATGGATGTCCATTTTACAACCACACATGAAATGTAGAACATTCGTCAGTAGCCTTTTTCCTTTTATTACATTTCTCCGAAACCAAGTCACAAAGTCTAGAACATTGAAGAGTGTGGTGCAGATGCATGCCCACCGTTATGGTATGTCAAACGGTGTGAACCCCACGCGTTTGCCGGTAATCTTCTCCTTAACAGAGCAGTTGCTTGTTGTGACTCGGCTTTCTTCCAGACCTTTATAGATAGCTGTGCTGACCACATTATCTGGTTATTCAGAAAACTCAATGAAACATTAGATCATACTTATTTTTGATAATTAAATTCATATCCAGGTGTTGAACAAAAAAAGTATTCCTTCTTACACAGACCAAAATCAGTTTTAAAAAAGGCATTGCTCAGAAACAGTGAAAATAATGAGCCCGTGCCCTCTGCATGTAAAACCACGCACAGCAGCGGACCAACGGCAGATGTGTTCATGTCCAGGGTGTACCATCCCTGTTATTCTATTCTTACAAAATGTTATGTTCCACCAGAAACTACGCAGTTTACTAAAGAACTGATAACAGTTCCCACAGTGTGTAATATAGAAGCTAGATTTTAAAACCACAAAATAAAAATAATATTTTCACAGAGTTAATTGAAAGCATCCATTCACACTATTCTTAGGACAGTTAGGAAGGTTCTGGTTTGTGTCTCAATGATTTTGTAAAATTAAAAAACTCTATAGGCATTTTTCACTCTGAATTTAATAGTTGATTAAAAAATATTAAATTAAAACCTAAAAATATTTCTTTATGGTTCATTTGGCCCTTTAGGAAATTTCTTTAGGCAAAAAAGTGTTTAGGAGATCAAGACAAAAATAGATATGTTTTAAAATACCTTTGATTGTAAACAATATTACTCGCAAGCAGCTGTTCTCAATCTTGGATGCCTATTAGAAACACCTCGGGAGTGTTTAGAAGCCCTGCTGTCCAGAACAAACCTCAAACAAGTTAATAAAAAATCCTGTGTTTAAGACCCAGGCATCAGTGTTTTTTAGGTTCCTAAGTGATTCCATTGTATGTTCAAATCTAAGAACAATTGTTTTATAGTGTAATCAGCTACCAGCCAAGAGCAGATAAGAATACATTTGAGAAAGTACAAAAAAAAAAAAAAAAAGAAAGAAAGCACTTTGGGGTTGTTTGTTTGTTTGTTTGTTTGAGATTATTGCCTTGGGTAGAGTGCCATGATGTCCTCATAGCCCCCAGCAACCTCAAACCCTTGGGCTCAAGCCACCCTCTTGCCTCAGGTTCCCGAGTAGCTAGGGCTACTGGTGTCTGCCACAAGGCCCGGCTACTTTTTCTATTTTTAGTAGAGGCAGGGTCTTGCTCTTGCTCAGGCTGGTCTCAAACTCCTGAGCTCAACGGATCCTCCCACCTGGGCCTCCCAGAGGGCTGGAATTACAGACCAAAACCACCAAGCCATGCTGAGAAACAACTGTAATTTTCTGTGATTTAATTCAGAGGAAAAGCTATACAAAGTCTCAAAATTGGGGGAAGGTTATTCCTAGAATTGTCATTCTAGAAATAACAAATGGTCCGATATGACTACAGTAAAGAAGCTTGCAAGGGAAGCTAAACCTGAAGAGGGTCCCAAAGTGGGGTCCACCCTCGAGACAGAATCAGGCCGGCCCAGGGAGACAGAGACTCAGTTCTCTCTCTCCGTCTGTTCATGGTGCGATGCCACTGCCAGGGTTCCTTCAGAACTTCCCTATAGCGTACTGACAGGGCCTTTGAAAAACAAGAAAGCCAACCTGGGGCTCAGAGTATCAAATGAGAATTTAGTAATTTATTAAAAAGTTTAAGATATTTATAATTATAGAAAGTGTTAGTTCGTCATTTATGGAAAGGATATGTTTCCCTTCTACAACAAAGTTGTTTTAAATTTTATGTGAGTCTTTTTCTAAAATATAGGAAGTAAGTGTATAAGTAGAATACATATAGAATTTTAAAAGTCACAAAATGGAAAATAATTGTTTGAAAATTGAGATCTAAGCTGTCTGAAAGCTATGGTCATGAAATCAGGCTTACTAGCCTTTAGATTCAGCCCCAACACTAACCATTTATGAGTGCCTTTATGGAGAGATGCAAGATGGATCCATTATAGTGAACACTGAAAAACTAGTTTGTGGCTTGGTGCCTGGAGCTCAGCGCTAGGCCGCCACCCACATACACCGGAGCTGGCAGGCACGAATCCAGCCCAGGCCTGCCAAACAAAAAACAACAACTGCAACCAAAACATAGCCAGGCGTTGTGGCAGGCGCCTGTGGTCCCAGCTACTTGGGAGACTGAGGCAAAAGAATCACTTAAGCCCAAGGAGTCTGAGGTTGCAGTGAGCTGTGACACCACAGCACTCTACCGAGGACAACAAAATGAGACTCTCTGAACAAAAAAAAAAAGAAAGAA